TTTTAATTTGTAGCTGAGCAGCAAAAAGCTCCCTGTGTCAGCTTAGGCTAGCAATTTATCAGTAACACAGCCATTGTGGTTCAGCAATAACCTTTACAAAATGCACAAGACGTTTTGCTTTCTTTCCCCTTATCAGCGTCGGAGCATCACTTATCAGATCAGCGCCATCAGGGACCCTGTAGGTGCGGTGGAGCAGGTGGCCTTGGGCAGGGGCAAGCTGCCATCTCGCAGGGCTCTGAGACCACGAGGAGCTGCCATGTCACGCAGAAGGAAAACCCTGGTGACTGGCAGCATTGGTCCGTGGTTGCAGCTGCTGCCCCTGGCTCCTGCTGAGCTCAGATCCACGCTTTGTGTTCCTTCCCCACAGCCCTGTTCTGTGCAAGCAGATCTTCTGCTGTTGTGGTCATGCTGGTCTCAAGTGCCCTAATACTCCCACCCATGCTCTCTCTCTATGATGTGTGGTGGCAGGGAACAAATGAACAGTTTGCTCCTTTACCACCTTAGCAAACAGAGAACTAGATCAATGATGACACCAATGAAACTGGTACGTAAGATGGAAAGTGGCACATGGCTACCCTATGGTCCAACGCTTTCTTCTTTACTGGCATTAAGAGTGACATTGATGAAGATTGCCACTAATCAGAAGTAGTTTAAGTAGCGTCATTCTCTGCGAATGGAAACAGGAAGTGGAATATATTAATCTTATAACAAATTCACACTTTCCTTCAACTTTCTCAGTGGCTCTGAAGTTAAGTTAGACGTGTTAGAGACTCAAATCCAAAGGGGAAAAAAAAAAAAAGGTTAGGCAAGAGTCTCTGTTAGCCTTACAACCATATGAGTCAGGAATGACCCCACTGACATTAAGAAAGCAAAGCTGATGTGTAGTTACATTAGAAAAGAATATGATCTGCATCATGAATGTGGTAATGTAGATCGTGGCTAAGATTCTAGGAAAAACAGATCAAATGAAGTCTGAAATTCCACCAGCTAGGTCACCACAGTTCACTGAAAAGCTCCCAACTTATGAACCTGAGCTGTATCTTTGCTGGACTTTTGGGAGGTGGATTCTGCTTAAAGTGAATTATTGACATACAAATTCACCGCTGCTGTTATTATGCTGACAATAAAATCATTTGGCACTGACATTTCATATCCTGTGGATATTAATTAAATTACCATCACAGCCCTTTTAATTATCCATATTCTTATTGTATAGATTGGGAAGTGAGATAGGAACTACAGTGACTGACTGAGACCATACATTAATGCTTTTAAGCATTGTCTGTGAGGAGAACTGGAATTTGAATGCATGCATTTCTTCTTGCCATTATACGGACCTTTGGCTTTTCTAAACTCTTTTCTGTAAGGAATGTCCTTGCTTTAGGAAGAATTCCTAAATTTGGACTTGTTTTTTGCCTGCAGAGCCATCAGGAATCCTAAGTGGAATACTCAATAACAATAATATGCAGTGCAGATTGGAGCCTAGATGAAGACACTTTTCACTATGCTATTTTTGTATAGTGAAAAGTATCTCCCCTGTAACACTGTGTAATTTTAAATAGAACATAGATGTCCACTTTCATATGGTAATTTAGTGCAGCTGAGACAAACAAATTTGGAGAGAGAATGAAAAAAAGTGTCAATTTTTAGCTATGTAAGAGTAATGAAGTAAATACGCAAATGATTGAGGTACAGGACATTGCAGTCTCCACATTTAAAAGTTTCCTCATTGTTTCAGAGGGTTGTGATTTGAACACAAAGACCGAACATTTCAGAACAGTCTCAGGGATTATGTACCTACATCTTATTATCATGAAGTGATAGGACCCTGAACTTATTTGAGCTCTTTCGTGAAGCCCAGCCTATAGGCCAGCCATCGTCACTGCTTTCCTTATGTTGCAGTGGTTCTTCAGCAATGCAAGGAGGTACCATAGGAAATGACATGATGAAAAACATCCTCATATACTGATGCAGACTGATCCAAGCTAGGACTTTCCTTAGCAATGGTGGAACATTAAAAAGTATAAAATCTTAGGGCCAAATTTTGTGGAAATGAAGCTCTTTTTACACAGGGTCAGGGCCCTGAGTTTCCCAAGAGTCTGCGGTCTCTTCTCCTGCGTCCTTGGGGTGCGGCTGTCTGTCCGGAGGCCAGTGCTGACACGGTACGGCCTTGCCTGGCCTTGCACCTCACTGATCCTGAACTTGTCTTGCTGACTTGGCTTCCCAGCTCTTGACCTCAGACCCGCCCCATGACTATCAATTTGTCTGGTGATCACCGAGATGCTGGCCAACACCGGTTACCACCACCAGACCTGCTCTGTGTGCCTCGCTAGGGTACCATGGGACTGTGTGGCTTCTTGGTGAGGATGCTGGCCAGCCTGGCTGGCTGTCACCCTCAGGTCCTGGCTCCCTGTCCCTTGCAGAGCCAGCACTCACTACTCCCTGACACACAAGTTAAATTTGACTCAGTTTTGTTCCTTAGTTTTCATTGTTCTTTATTTGAAATAAATTAAAAAAAATAGAATTAATTTCCCAACCTTTCTGGCATGTGAAAGGTCTAGAAATGAACTTCTGAGTTCTTTTTTCCATGAAGTTACAGTGAAGCTTGGTTCCTCTTTTATTCCAGTGCTGCAGTGAAATTTCACATTCTGTTGCAAAATACATAGGTCAACACAGAAACAAATCTTTGGTGAAGTAACTTGCACTGCTGCTTGCATACTTTTTCCTTCATAATATATAAGAAGGTATTACAGGAAAACCAACCAACATATCAAAAGGATTCCAGCAAAAGGATTAATGGAAAGAAAGAAGGGAAGGGAAGGGAAGATCATCCTTTTTTAGAGAGGAAGGCCACAGCCAGAATACTGACATACACATTTATAACAGTTCATAGGGTCACAACCTTCTGGTTGGAAGGGACCTCAGGAAGCCTGCTCAAAGGAAGGTCAGCTATGAGGCCAGACCAGGTTGCTCAGGGCTTTGTCCAGTTAAGTCTTGAAAACCTGCCAGGATGGAACATGCAGAACATCTTGTTGCAACCTGCTCCACTGCTTGGCAGTCCTCATTGTTCAGAAGTTTTCCCTTCTATCAACTCTGACCCTTCTTGCTTCAAGTTACGTGCATGACTTCTTGTCCTCCCGCTGTGCACTCTTGTGAAGAGCTTGGGTCCATCTTCTCAATACCCTCCTTGCAGGTATGGCAAGGCTGAGATTGGGTCCCTCAAAGCCTTCTCTCCTCCAGGCTGAACAAGCCCAGCCTCCTCAGCCTCCCAAGTTCCCTTCTCGGAATACGAAGTTGAAAGTATAAATACATACATACAGGAACTCATGAAAACAATGAAAGTGGCTCTTTGTATCGGAGATGTTTATAATTTACATGTAGAGGGATCTTCTCATAAGAATTTTCACATTGCTTGTAACCACTGTGTGCTTGTCTTCCAAGAATATTGTCAGACGTGGAAGTCTGCTGAAAAAGTGCTGGGCAAAATCTTTCCACTACACAGACTTGACAGAGGGGGATTTTTTTGATGGAAAGAAAAATTTGTTCCCTATGAAACTGGACAACCACCATAAACATTCTTCCCGACAACTGAACAGAAGTGAAGAGGTTGCGAGAGGAGAAAAAAACACACTTTCCATGGTGGTTTAATTCTTTTCAGAGGGACGAGTGCCCACTGCTACCAGGGAACCCTGCAGCAGTTGCAGGGGCCTGCACAGGACCAGGTCCCTGAATTAGCTGCACTTTTGATTTATGCTAACTTCAACCCTTTTAAAATGTGGGTTCTTTTGCTGCCATTCTTATTGTTTGTTGGTACATTCATGTTCTTTGATGTTTTTTTAGTATTGCTTGTTGGTTTGTTGTTTGATTTTTTAAAAACTGGCAGACTGAGTGCCCTGGAACCTCTAGCGGAGGCCTCCAGGTGCAAGTAAGTAAATGGATATAAACCTTGTCGCTCTATTGACTCTGCAAATGTAAACACACTCCAGATTTCAGTCATAATAAGCAAGGCTGAGGCTGGTTCTTTATGCTATGGAGATGTGAAACCTCATCTTTCAATCCAGTCATAATAAGCAAGGCTGAGGCTGGTTCTTTATGCTATGGAGATGTGAAACCTCATCTTTTAATCCTTCCCTTTCCTCCCTGCATATATCAAGAAAAATTTCATCTGGGTTAAAGTGTCTATGGCTAAAATTTAGTTCTTTATATATACTTGAAGTAATGAAGCTTCAACTATCTGAAACCCAATATTGATATTGTAATGAAACCACATGACATATCGTTATACACTAGAACATATATTTTCCAAAGAAAACAAAAGACGGAAAGCTTAAGAGCAGGTAAGCACCCATCCACATGAGGTAAGCAATTTTAAGAATTGGCTAATCTCAGGGATATGCTGAAGGAGAACTTGACTCATTACTGAAACAAAGGAACCATCACAGCAGCTTAAATTGCACCATGATACTAGAGAGAAGATTTAACATCCTCCCTCTGTCTGCTCCTTTGTCAATCATTTGAATGATCTCCATGTGTGTGCATGCTTTATTAATTTCTGTCACAGTACCGATTTTAAAAAAAACCCAGCAAACCCACATAAGACACCTTCCCAGCTAAGTTTTAGGCTTCTATTAAAACTGGAAAACAAATTACTGAGGTTAGAGGACTTCAGCCTTCCTCCAGCTGAGTATGTGTAGGCCCAGTACATGGGCTATCCAGCAAGCTGTGACAGGAGGCAGTTCTCCGGAGGATCCTCAGTTTCTGTCAGTGTGTCATGGTCATTTTTTTTTGATTGTGCGTTTGTTTGTTGACATTGATTTATGTACCATGCCTGATTTTGATGCTCTATTGATTTAACTGACCCTATAATAAGTTCTTATTAGCTCCAGCTACTGGTTTCATGTAGATTTGTCACTTTTGGGGTGTTTCCTAGGTACAGAGTGGGGAAGAATTTTTCTTTCTTTCCTCTTTAGTTTATCCAATGTTGCTTTGAATGTGCTCTCTCAAGCATTTTTGATAGTCTCTGTTTCACAGGATGTTCTGCAGGTGATCAGCGCACTGCTCTTTATAGCTTGGTCTCCCTCACGCTTTTGTAGACACAAGCAACACCTGAGGAAATGCAGTATGTCTGTTCGTGCAGTTTCACTCACAAAGCAGTAAAGAATGGGATCAGCAATACAATTCAAACTTGTTAAGGCCTGTGTGATTCTGTAAACCTTATATATCAACTGCAAAAGCTGTGGGTCAGTGGTGTAAGGTTCTTTAATGCTGCGAATAAGCAATACAATGTGATAAGGAGTGAAGCAGACAATGAAAGTAACTGTGATACTCAGAATAAGTTTCCTCACTTTTCTCTTTTCTTCATCTACTGTGGCTTGATTATACCTCACTACTTGGTAGATTTTATGGTAGCAAAACAAAATGACTATCAAAGGGACCAGGTACCCTGAGCATATCCGGAATAAATTTATGTATGCCTGCCACTTTTCCAGGGGGTATTTATCATAGCACAGTGTATGATTAGTGAAATTGCAAGGATCACTGAACACTTCTTTCTTCACCAATATGGCTGAATTCAAGATGCTTTCCAGAAGCCAAACAATTACGCTGACAAGCAACGAAAATCTTTTTGTGCGGAAGTGCTGGAGCTTCAAGGGGTGAACTAATGCCAGATACCTATCAACAGAGATGCAAGCAAGGAACGCAGTGCTGGTGTAGAAGTTCATATACATAAGGAAGGCAGAAATCTGACAAAGCAAGGCAGAGAGCCTCCAGTTATCTCCATTCCAGGCATAATCAATCCACAGAGGCAGAATCAGAGAGTACAAAAGGTCAGCCAGGGATAGGCTGAAGAGGTAGACTGCTAACTCATTCTTTTTCCTCACCTGAAGGCAAGATGCATAGAGGGATATACAGTTGGTGGGAATACTGATCACCATCACAATGCTGTACACAAATGGAAACAAATACTTATCCAGGGTGTGATCATCATGGCACTTAGCAGTGGTATTCTTGTCCATCCCAGTAGTATCATTGGTCCAATTCCAGCCTGGATGCAGTAAAAAATTGTCTGTAGTCTGATGAGTTGTCATCTGTTAGTTCTTCAGGACCTGATTGGTAAGATTCCAGCCTTCTGTTACCAAAAAGGAAAAATGTCAGCTATAACAACATTTTTGTTTGGTTTTATGAGCTTCTTGGTGGGTGTCTTTTTCAGAAGAAAGAAACTGTGTTTGTAGGTGATCAAACATTTTAAACACTCCTGGAGGAAAACATGCATAAGGAACCCAAATGACTAAGGTGGTCAAGGTCAGCCAGATGCAAGTTTCTACAGCAGAAGCAGGATGAGAAGCTAAGACACTTCCAGAGGGGTAGGGTTCTGCAATCCCAGGCCTTTTGGGAAAAACAAAGGAGACCAGAAAGTGCACCACAAGTAACAGAGATGCACTTTCTATTATTCTGGTGAGCAGAATTGGGTTTTGGCCATCTGAATATGGCAGATTTCTTATCCCCAATACCCTCTTCCTCTCTAAGTCAACGGAGAGACAAAGATAGAAAGACAGGGATTCAGCTATTGCTAGATGTTGGGATCTGCTCAGAAGAGGAGAATGTGTGGCTGGTATGTTTCCCTATTGAGAATCACTCTCTAGTTTTGTTGCATCCTCACACCTCCCCACTTTCCCTCCACTCCTTTGTATGCGATTGCCCAAGAACTTGCCACCAACTGTGCTATTCCAGCAAAGCTCACTGCGTGTCCCAGGAACCCTCATGTGAAACCTGGCAGGCTACTGGGTTCCTGCATGCACAGGAGAATTTGCCAGGGTGAATTTGCCAGGGTGTCACTGAGACTGACGTGAGGTGGAGACTCTGCGTACAATTTTTCATTTACACTTCTTTCTCCTAGAAATTGTAGTTGCCATGCATGAGTTTATAAAACCATTAGCAACTAAGTTTACATTGGGCACTACCAGGGCTGTGGGTGTCAACAGCTTCAACATAAAAATATCAGTAAAACAGCAGCCATGACTAAAGCAGTCGGACCGGAGAAATTGTGTGTGCGAGTCTGAGAAGCACTTAGAAGTGCTGACCTTTAAGTAAGAAAGGGTATACAACCATAGCTATGAGACAGCTGGTACTCACTGATTATATCACAGCTCTGACACACACGTTACACAGAGTAATTCTCTTCCCCAAAGATGTAATTGTTAAGTTCAGGAGATATGAGAATGGGGAATATTTGTTGTGGTCCAGTTCTACTGCCAAATCTAGTAACTGCCTTCAGAGACTGTGATAACCCATCTGTGGTTTGAGCCTAGACTGTCTGCAGAGGAGGTGAAGAGGTTGTAGAATGAGTAGGTTGCAAGATAGCACTGTCTACCACTGTTCCTCCATAGGAAACTGCTCAAACTGAAGACAACTTGGGTGCAGGGATTTTCCCATGTGGTAGGCAAATTCATTCTGCCTTTTATGGTTTTGATGCATGTGCGTGGAGGTTTGTGGGTTTGTCAGAGAAACCCAAGTAGGTTTATTGCCTGTGTTTAGAGGTTATTATATGGATCTCTTTTGCAAAAAACCCCCAAACTTTCATGCATATTCAGAAACAGGAGCAATGACAGAACTAATCAGAAAGCACATATTTCATTTTACCAGCCACTGCTTTATTTGATCAAGTTGGTTAACTTTTCACAGTTAGAGCTAAATTCATTCACAGGCTTGAAAGACAAGGAAAATTCTTGAGAAGGACCTGGCAATGGTCCATTGAGCAGCTTTACTTACATGATGACTAATTTAAAAAAATGCAGTGTCTATATTTAAGACAAACATAAGATATCTGCTTTTCAGTGTGGGTTAATAAAACCACAGGGCAAATAGGGCACTCTAAGCTTGCTGGTAGAGATAAGCATCACGAATTAAAAATCTATCTCTAGAAATTGGATTCCAGGGTTTTGCTGACCCACTTCTCATCAAAAGCAAAGCAAACATGCAGACTGACCACACGAGTAAAAGATAAAAACCTACCTTTTCTTCTAATCACATTTTAGCATCTCTTTTCCTATGACAGGTCTCTTCATGTCTAAGAGGGAAATGTGCCCTTTCAGAAGCGTGTGCGTAATGTAGCAAGTGTATGAGGCAGTGTCTATTAGTTGTGTGACTGAGAAACTGGAATTCCTTCTCCCTCCCCCACAAACTCTTTCTCTATTGTTAATCGACTTGTTATATTACTTGTTATATTACAGACTCATCATCTGTACAAGCTCCCAACTTTTCTCCATGTTACTCACAACAGCTCCTCTCACAGTTCTGTTTATCAGGTCTTTCATATCTACTCACAGACCAACATGCCGAGTTCTTCATACCACCCACCTTCTTTTTCTTCAGCTTTCTCTTTTTAGCTAATTGTTTCTAAAAGTTTTGCTCTGTTGATCCCACTGATAATAAGGTAAAACACTTGTCTGAATAAACCACATCTCCTTTGCGGCAAGACCTTGATTTGCTCTTCTGCCATCTGCCTGAAGGAACTAACATTTTAAGATATAACTGGATAATGGCAGGCTAGGACACTGAATATGGGATTCAAAGAAGAGAGTGGAGAGTACAGAAAATTTGGCACCTTGGCAGTTTTTTCTGTTCATGTCCATAGGTCCCATGGTTTTCTTTTATTTTTAACAGTATTATCAACAGTTTCTATGAACAAAGCCTTGGCTGTCTAAAATTCCCCAGGTAATCCATGTCCTGGCTTTGATGACACATTGATGCCACTTATATGAGGACATGCTTTCAATGAGAATAACAACAAGAAGTGTTGTCATTCTGGCATGTATTGATGACCTATACTGAAGTGTGTCAAAGAGCCAGCAAATGAAGTATACCACAATGCATGCTGCAGTTTCTTGCACAGAAACGTAAAAGTAGAAAGCACTGTTTTGTCCTGATGACAACACATTTCATTACAGTTACTCGGGGCCTTATGTCAGAGGAAGTGGTCCATATCATACTTTCTTGCTTAGCTTTTTTCTGATAACTAGGACTACATAATGCAAAATGATTTGTCTTACCTGAATTCATGATCTGAAGCATTCCCAGGTTTTCTCTCAGCTACTGAGTGTACCTGCTGGTTTTGCACTGGAAGATGCTATTGGCTTACAGCTATCCTAAAACACAATGTTTGACAATTTTTCCCACCGATTGTTAAGTTTTTTCTAAAAAATTATCAAGTCATTTCCATTTAATGATATAGTCTAACTGTCTGACTTTCATAGTCCAACTCACTGTGACTAATTCTGTAGACCTGTGACTTACTTTAATAGACTTGTTATGATATCAGATGTGTTTCAAATGAAAAAAAATCTCAACAGTTAATTTTGTCTTTTACGCACAATATTCAGTGATTATCATTGTCTGCCTCTCTGTCATTTTGCTACAGAAAACCTGCTGTACAAGAACTGTGAAAAAATAAAGTGCAACTAGCAGTCAGGCATGACATATAGAGAAATGGACTAGCAAGTGTCAGGCTTCGAGTCATGTATGCAAACAAGCTTGTAAAGGAACCTTGTGAATGCTTCTGGAGAAAAACACTCATTACATATTGTAATTGTATTGACACATTCCTACAACATCTATTTCAGATTCAAAGAGAACTTTATGCGATCTCTCCATTTACATTTTGAAAGTAACAAAGGAAGTATAAAGTTATACTTTCATAAGCACAAATACAAAATTATACTCCATACTCTTGTACATAAACAACTTTCTAAAGGAAGAATGGAACAGTCTTTTTTGTTTTTCAGATTAATTAATTCTACTATAGTTTGGGAAATTAGGAAACATGAAGAAGACTGTGAGGATTTTGTGTTATTAACAGAAAAGTTTAGTCACTAATTAAAAAAAAAAATCTTCCATTAGCTAATAAACACCAGCTTCATCTTGGAAACATCTGCAACTGATACATTTCACCTTTTATTTCAAATTCAAGTTCATAAAAGGGCAAGTTGCTGTAAGCAATATTCATTATAATGTGGTAAGTTTTTGCAAGTACTTTGCTTTTTAGATAAGTTTCAGGGGAAGAAAACAATGTTGTGTGAGCTAGATCTGTGCAGTAGCTGCTGTATTGGTCCTACTGTGCATCAGCCATAAGATGGAAGGGCAGACGGTTTTCTTGATTTCTTTTTTCTCTCAAAGCAATTTCAACAAAGTAGATTGCTTTGTGTTCTCAAAATAAGTTAGAGTGCCGAGCTGATTTCCTCAAGTACAAAGCTGCATCTTTTTTCCTAATAGGCAGATCTCAAAACTTAATTCTGAAAAACTTCTCAGCTTAGGAGAGTTGAAATATGCCTTCCAATAACATGGACATTTTTGCTTAAAATGAACAGCGTTTTTCCTCATGCAACATTAAATTTCACTCACAGGTCTCTGAGACTCTGTAGAGACTCAAATAGGTCTGAAAGAGCTCAGTCTTTCTAACTTTGAGATACACTTTATGGACTGTTTCATAAAGCATAAAAATTCTGTTAACATGAGCAAATAGGAAAAAAGTTATGTTTTTTTAGGATGTAGGACACAGAGGTGAGCATTATTTTGCTACATCTTTATATGCATCATGTTTTCCTCTATGCTTACAGAAAGATATTGTACAAAATATTTTCATGTACATACTTGGTATTCTAAGAAGCTACTTTTAGCACACCTTGTTTTTCTGCCAATTTTTATGCATTGTGTATACTCATATAAATAGTGCTGAGTACCTTGTTAGCACCATAAAATATTAAAGAACAGTAACAGAATAGCTACAGACCCCCCCTTTGAAGCCTGAGGCATTTTTTGCACTGAAGATAGGACAGCTCAGAATCCCGAAAATTCCCCCCCAAATACTGTTCTTCTCCATCCTTCTCCCCTCTCCTAAGTAACAGGTATTTTGATTATGGCAACACCATTACAACAATAAATCAAGCTGGCATCTTTCCTGATTCAGTCTTTTGATGTCAGTTGCCCTTTTGCCTCATGTTTCACATGTGCTAGGGGTGAACTACTCCTTCTCCCAAAGCAATCTTTTCCAGCCCCTTTTGTATCCCTTCTTTTTGTTCTATAATGTCAGCATCATATTAATGGAGAGCCAGGTTGAAATCTGTACCAGAACAT